CTTGTGCTCCATCTTACCAGTTTTTCTTTTTTTCTCATATCTCTCTGTTTGGAGTCTCTGAAAACCCTCTGTTTGGAGGGCCATGTAGCCCAAACACTTCGCCCTCCCCCTCTATCTCAACAAGAACTGGGACACCCTACCCCTAGGCATGAACGCGCAAAGCAGAGGGCTAAGGGCTCAGTGGTAGGGGCGAGGGGTGAAATGGGATTGAGCCTAAGTTGTATTAGTCATGATCAGCCATGATTCTCTTTGCTCAGGAGGACAGTCTATAAATAAATGCTAAATGGAGGTTCATTGGTGCCGACCAAGGTAATCTTAAGTATACATGGGAAGGAACAAGATAACCCTGTCTGTGTTCTTCTGAGGGGCATTACTGATATAAAGTCTTAAAATAGCAACAAAAGCATGAATGGCCTAAAATGCATACATTTTAAGCCAAAATCGTCTCTAAAAAAAATCATGAAGCGCTTCATGTAAAAACTTTCTGTGAGCGAGCTTTTGTAGGTGGACATCTGGTTCCTATCACCACCACTGTGTTTCTCTCATTTCACACCAAACCACTGTAAATGACTTTGTTTACATCTCAAACATTTAACCCTCTTATTATCTTTGGGGTCAATCTGACCCCATTGAATGTTTGAGACTTCTAAATAAATGATTGACACCACTTAATTTTAGGGATGTCCTGATCAAGTTTTTCTGCCCCCGATCCCGATCCGAGTCATTTAATATTGACCATCTTTCGATATCGAGTCTGGATCCGATACTTATATTTTCCTAGGTAATACTATTGCACAGTGCACAATTCAAGTACATTACATTTATTAAAATCAATCCAATGTATATGCTTCACAACTGAATAGCTCTGCAGTGCGTTAAGAAAAAAATTGCCTGCATCTGAGCTTTTTTTTTATTTTTTATAATTTTTACAAAATAACAAAGTAAACAAACTAAAAGATGTCTTTATAAATAGCTTGGATAAATTCCACTTAGTGCAGCAGCAAAACTAGAACACTCAAAATGACAAATATAATCATAATTCCACTTTAAAGTGTTGTAATAGCTTAACATTCACAATCATGACGAATAAAAAACGAAATTCCACCTAGTGCAGCATTAGAATAAAAATAGTATACTAAAATTAAAAATCAGAGATCTCAATTCCACTTAAGTGGTGTAGCAGCTTAACCTGAACATGTAAAAAAACAATATATGTTTCCACTTTTTAGAGTAACAGCATTACAGTAAAACCTGAATATCAAAATAATAAAGTTGCATTGTACTTTCTTAAAGCCAGTTCTTAAAGTGCTTTTATTGGAGCTTCTACAGTTTTTCCTTTCTCTTCTTCAGTTATCTACACTCTGACTCTCACTTCAGAATGAAGTGAAGGGTTTTTGAGGAAAATCAGCATCTCTGCCATGTTAGGTGACAGCCGCGGTTCATCTTCTCATCAGTGACGGTTGAGACTGGACCAAAGAGTCGCTCGATGTCCATACGTGTACAGGGGGCGCAGAGAAACTTGTTTGCAATAGCAACCAGTGATGGAAGTCACAGATTGTAGTGTGTGTTGCTTTGGTGCAGCCTTTGCCTGAGCTACCTGAGTAAACTTGCTGTATTCTGCCGAGTGTTTACCTTTTAGGTTCAGTATCAAATTGGTAGTATTGTACGTAGCTCTGTTACTACCGCCTCGCGAAATGCTCGCATTGCATACATTAAACGTGGCTGCTGGACTGGTTTCGTTCTCCACTTTAAAATATTTCCACACGGCAGACATTTTAGCAGCGTCCTGCCACAAATTGCGCTCTCTGCCACGACACCCATGTGACCACTGACGTAAAACAAAGGATCGGGCATAGATTCATGCTCAATAAAGCCGATACCGATCAGTTAAAAATGCCTTGATCGGCCCCAATACCGATCTTTGAGATCGGATCGGGACATCCCTACTTATTTTGCTTCATATTTCATGACTTTTTCTAATTCCATGTAGAAAACTGGGAAAACATTGTTTATTTAATCCACCTTTTGTACCTGTTAACATGACAGCAGACCTAGCAAGGACCTGAAGCAGTTTCCCAGTTGATGATGCGTTACCTGTTACTATTGCATTATGTGCACTCGCCTCCTAATAAGATTTAGTGGAAAAATCTAACAGGTCTTATACAGTTCAATTAAATCATTTTGGATTTATCCAAATTGGGTTGCTTCTAATGAATATAAACAAGCAAAGTTTATTTTTATGTTTTTTTAAGTTAAGTTTTATGTAAAATATTTGCTTAATGTTTATGATGGCCATAAATAAGTTTTTGAGTAGACGATGTTTGAGTGGTTTTATGTGCCCCAGTCAGTCATGTTTTATTTTTATATGACAGCTTTCCAGCTTCTATTTATCTCCTCAAGGGCTGTTTTGTTACTGTGCCTTTAAGACCTAAATATGTAAATGAAGTCTAAGTACTCCCTATAATTTCAGTGTGAAAGGGTGGAGCTAAAGTGCTGTCAGCTGAATAGCTGGATATATGCAAATCAGGGGTCTGATCCAAGATGCATGGCTTCTGTTCTTTGTTTTCTTTTAAACAACTTTTTTATGCTAATTTTTAGGGGTGCTGGGACTCGCCTAGACACGCCTATGATGCAAATGTATTTGGTCTTTGAGACATCGCAAAAATAATGCATTCAAATTGGGCTGTTTTGGTAGGTCAGTCTTCATTTGGACGGTGTGGACTGGGGAGTGTTTTGAAACATTAGCAGTGTTTACATGTTATATCAATTACATCAGCTCAGTTTTCTATGATACTTTAAGTCTTTTAGTAATATTACATCAAATTTAATGAAAATTCAGCTTCATTACACACTGGTGCTGCACTGCTCAAACATTTCACAAGTGCAGCTTTGCAGAATTTACCATTCTCTACTCAGTTCATTAGCCAAGGCCTCCATGAATTGAACACAGAGTGCTGGAAGAGGGAAAATGCTAATCACCACGGAGCTGTGGCCCAGGAGGAACCCAGTTCAGCACACCTGTTGTAACCTGTTTAAATAGCTGGTTAGAAGCCTGTCAGCCTCAAAAAACTGCTACAGTATAAGTTTACATCCACAGTCAAATTACAGGTGAATATTAGATTCATTCACAAAAAACAAAATGGTCCAAAATTACCTGGAAAAACGTCAATACATTGACTTTAATTAAACTTTAGAAACATTTTCTTTTTCTACTATAAAGTTAACATTTTAAAAATTCCTGCATAATTAACTGATTAAGATGTAAACAGAGTCATTCAGAGTGGTTTGGTGTGAAATACTCCATTATAGAGAAACTTACACAGTCAAAATTGTTCACAGTCGTGGTGATAGGAACCAGACGTCCACCTTTAAAGCTCCCTCGCAGAAAGTTATTACATGAAACAGTTATTAATACGCTGCCAGATGTGTGAGATGTTCTTTTATGATAGTTTTATAAGATAATTTTGGCCTGAAACATATTTTTTAAATTCATTCATGGTGGAGGAGTACTTGAAATTTAGTGAAACAGAAAATGATAACACAGAATAGTTATGAATACACCGCCAGAGACTTTTTTGGTCAGATTATTTTTAACATGCAGGGTGCTTTACAGCAAAGTAGTCCGCAAAGAAAACCTTTCAGATTTTTCACTATTTTACCATCACCATCACATAAAAACTCAGAAAACACGTGCAGGTTTACGCAGGTCAAGTAAAATTCAACTTCTAAGACTGAACTTTGAAGGTGTGTCTGCAGATTCTTTGAGAAACTGAAAGTGAGTCTCCTGAAAAGAATGGAAGCTTAAAGAGCGACATACTGAACACTCATATGATATAATATTTAGTTGTTGAAGCTTCTGTGTAATTTTCTGTTAAATATTTGTTTTCTGCTTTTTTTCCAGATGCTGAAAATGAGTAACTTGTACGTAATGACAGTCTTCACTGAGAAATGAAGGTACAACACTGCAAAACATCAACTCAACATATTATTGAAAACTTGTACAATAATACAATCATGTACATTGAATTTGACTGCCTTATATATGTGTATATATATGTATATATACATATATATATACACACACACACACCAATATACATATACATATATATATATATATATATATATGTGTGTGTGTGTGTGTGCGTGTGTATATATATATATATATATATACATAAATGTATAAAATGGTTCGAATATGTTAGTTTTTATGCTGTAATGTGTTGAGAACAAGGTTATGACAAAATTATTATTCCAATATCATCATATTCCAAAAGTGGAGATCAAACTTTGAGGCATATAACTGGACCAAGAGTCTAGAGTAGTAATAGTAGATTATTAACATTTATTATCACAAATGTTCTCAAATTGGTAATAAGTTAACGCACCCTCTACAGAGAGCACTGCAGCACCTAGCATGTCTATAAGAATTTCACAGAACACTTTGATAACATAGAAAACTGCATTAGGAAGGCATTTTCAACATGCCTATATATGCTTTATGAATTGTGAATATAAAGCTTTGAACAGTTGTATGCAAAAGTTTGGGCACCCCTGGTTAAATGGCGTGTAAATAAGTTAACACATCCTCTACAAAGAACACACTTCTGCACATTTTAATGCACATTTACTTTTATTTACTGAATTTAACACATTGGTGGAAAAAAAAAAAAACATAAAATGTGACCTGTGCAAAAGTCATGGTGCGTTTTATATTGAGTTATATTTAGTATATTTAGAGGGTGTTCATACCTGCTGAAGTTTGGTTAGTTTAATGTTTCTGGAGAGAAGGTAATGAGAGTGATTCTTAGTGCTTTGGCCTGTTTCATTATCTCCCATTTTTAGTGAGCTGATAAAGGCTTTGCTAGATTATGTGCGGCGCAAGGCCGTCTGTCTGAGCTCAGAACAATCTCTGAAGACCTTTCTCCATTGTTAGAGGTGGGTGGTGTGTCATTGGAGGACTTTTATATACAGTGACTGCTCTCAGATCATCAGTTTTGTGGATATCTCCAGCCCAGGATGATGGTTCCTCTACTGCTAGCTGCCTTGCTGCTCCTCCTCCAAAGCGCTGCAGCAGATCCCTCCAATGAACCGTAAGAACCTTCCTTTCTTCTCTTATTAGCTTGCGATTTTTCATTAGCAGAACTGGGCAGAAATCTAGTTGCATGCAAAAGTTTAAACTCCATCGGTCAAATTACATATTTTCTTCATTTTTCGATTGACAACAAGTTAACACATCTTCTACAGGGAACAAAACCAAAATCGAATTTTTAGGTCTTAGTGCAGAATTTCTATTTATTTGCTGAGTTTAACATTTTGGGGTAAAAAAAACGTAAAATGTGATGTTGCTTTTGCGCGGGCCGCATTGTGTGCGCCTCTTGCAGCACATAACAGTAACTGTGCATTGAAATGTGTAAAGCGTGTTCTCTGTAGAGGATGTGTTAACTTATTCACACTCAACACGTGTCATTTGACTGGGGTGCCAAAACTTTTGAATAAATTAGACTGTTGAATTGAAACTGAATTGATAACTATGAATATTTAGGAACAGTTTGGTTGCTAAGAAGCAAAAACTGAACGGCTCTTTTGTGGAAGCTAATAGCCAGTCAATTAGCATGACTGCATTTGCACAGTGCAAAATAGTGCTAAATGTGCTACACAAAACCAGTGTGAACTGAACTGAACCATTGGCTGTTAGCTTGCACTCATGGTTTATTAGCCATGTTAATATATTTCTTTAATAAACACTCTGATTCTTGTTCACTTGCCAAGAATGAATGAAAGCAAACGGCTCATATTAATTAGCATGACTGCATTATCGCTGCTGTCGGAAGAAAACCTCGTATCTCCATTTTTGTCGTTTTTCAGTTTTCAACATAATCTGAAAATGCATGTTGCCCTTTACATTGTCTGTAAATTTCATGATGAACAGACCAAAAGAAATGGCCCCCAAATTACTTGGAAAAATTCTGGTTCCATTGACGAGATATGAGGTTTTCTTCCGACAAAAGCGATATGCACAATGCAATCTAGTGCTAAACCATCGCTGAAAAAACAGCACAGCTGGTCTAGTGCTGGTCTGATGCTGGTTGATGCTGGTTTAGCTGGTCTTCCAGTTGGCTAATGCTGGTTGGCCAGCATACCAGCATCGAAACAGAATATATACTGGTTTTACTGGTGACCAGCCATTCTGGTCTATGCTGGTATATAAAAGTATGAATATTGGCTTGCGTTCACTGTCTGTTAGCCACATTAGCATGTTTACACTCTTACACTCTCATCCTTGTTCAGTTGCTAACGAAGAATGTGAGTGAAAAGCTCTTCTGTGGAAGCTTATAGTCACCAGTTAGCCTGAATTAACTCACACAGTGCTAACAGGGCTAAATTAACTATCCAAAAAATGCGAATTGAATTGAATTTATCTAGTGGCTAATAGCTTGTATTCCTTTTTAGGCACGATCACACGTTTCCTTAAACTATTCCTTCAATTAACTTGAAGGAATAGCTGTTGAGGAGTGTTAATTTAAGTTATTAACCATTAGTGGAAGTGAAAAGCTAATAGCCACCAGCTAGCATGACAGCATTTGTATAGTGTCTCATAGTTGCTTGTAGCTCGTCCGTTTTTTAAAGCATGTTTTTTCAAGCTTTTCTATTAATTTACACTCGTTCTTGTCCCCACTTCAGCATTTATATGTTGGCCGTCTCGTCCCAGCCAGTAGGGGGTACATCGGAGACGCTATGTGTTAATGTGTACCCCCTTCAAAAACCACTATCATTGATGGTGACGCTGGAACACAGCCAAAACAGCAGGATGCTCCTGAAGCAGAACGCCATCAAAAAAGACTTCTATCAGTGCCTTCCCTTCAAGGTCAGTAACGGTCATAGCCCACTATGAAGACTCAACATTTTACCAGCATGTCCTTCGTATCAAAATAGAATAAGCTGCAGCGTTAGAAAGGGTTCTCCAAGGTTCTTTGGGAAAATAAATAGCTATATATAGAACCATTGTGTTTTTTTTTGCATGGTTATCTGGTTCTTATCTATGATGGGAAGCCTGCTGTACAGTTCGTATGCAAAAGTTTGAGCACCCCTGGTCAAATTACATGTTGATTTTCTAAGTGAACACATCCTCTACAGAGAACACATATAAAATGCACATTTAGCAAGATGTGGCCTGTGCAAAAGTTATGGCACACTCTGTACTTTATGTTTTGCTTTTTTAAATTGTGTTAAACTCAGCAAATAGACAAAAACTGCACACTTAAACTGGATGTGTTAACAAGGCATGTCATTTTTTTAACCTTAAACAAATTTAAAGAAATGGTCAGTGAAAAGGATTCTGCTATTGTTACAAGTCATAGAAAGTCATAGAAGGACAGTACAGAAGCCTTTTTTTGCTTAGAGTGTGAACAGAAAATTTTGTAATACACACACACACACATATATGTACACACCGATCAGGCATGACATTCTGACCACCTCCTAATTCATTTTTAAACTGAACATGTTCCTACCTCTCCTAAAACAGGCCACTATGGTGCCTTTAAGACTGATGTACGTAAATGAGCTCTGTTTCGATTGGTTGCCCTGTATCGCACCATATTAGAGCTGAATAAAGCTGAAAGGGCGGAGCTGAACTATTGTAGGCCTAATAAGCTGAAACATGTAAATGAGTTGGATATTGTGGCATCACAAAAACACTGAATTAAAAATTGTGCACATTAAAGTTCAAATAAGAAACAGATGTGAATGATACAGATTGAAGTTTTAGCCACATTCATACAACATTTCAAACTTTTATATTAATTAAAAGAGAATAATTAGATTTTTTCTGATATGGGCCTTTTAAGCATTACGTGTAAATGATCACTGGCACTGACTGTAAACCTAAACTTCCCTTTTTTGCACATTTATCATTTTTTGACTGTGTTTCTGCTCTTCTGCAGGTTCCTGATGTAAACGTTGAGTCTGAGGCTTCCATTAACGTTCAGATCAGTGGAGAAAGTACGTTTCTGAACAAGACCACGAAGATCCTCATCAGACCTCCTGCTCAGTTGACCATCATTCAGACAGACAAACCCATCTACAAACCTGGACAAACAGGTAACTCAAGAAAACCAGCTGCCATATTAATTTATTTTGTTTATTTTTTGCACAGTTTGAGAAGCAGCCAGGCGTTTTTTACATCGTGTGAATGTTTTATGATGAACGGACGGATCTAAACACACATTTGAACAAAATATTTTACAGTAACATGCAGTAAAATTACGAAATCAGATCAGTTTCCTTCCCTGTTACTCTTTTAGAGATATGAGGTTAAGGGGAATTCCACCAATTTTTCCAAATTTCTACATAATGAAATAGTTAGAACATAAACAAAGACTTGGCTTTATTTGTGTTGTAGTCATGGCGACCCCTGGTTCCTATCACCACCACTGTAGAGAAATCTGAGTCTCTACTATTTCGCACCAAACCACTCTGAATGACTCTGTTTACACATCAAACACTGAATTATGCAGAGAATTAGAAAAATTGGTGGAATTCCCCTTTATAAAAAAGCTGCTCCACCTTCTTTTTGATGGTTACAAGTAATGTATGTATTTTTCTCCACAGTCAGATTCCGAATCGTCTCTCTGGATTCCAGTTTTCTCACCTATGAGCAGCAGGTATGACGACTCCAGTCATTTCTTTAATGTATTTTGCACTGTAAACTAAACTGTGCACAGAGAGTAACACACTATACTGCTGATTATAAACGCTTTTCTTTTCTTTCTCCTTCAGTTCCCAACAATAGAGCTGCAGGTATGGTGCAGTCATCAACTCTACAAACCTACAGACTGTATAATCCATCTATCTATGTTTCATTTTGTCTTTGTTTTGTTTCACTTCATTTTATTTTCTTTTTATTACTAACTTTTGCTTTTTTTAACCTTCAGATTTGATGCTTAAGCACTTTGAGCTGCTACATTGACATGGACATGTACACAAGCTGCTCTGTGAATTGATGATGATGATAATGATTAATATTATTATTATTAAATTTTAATTTTAAATAATTTTAGAGATTTCTGCAGTTTTCTTGCTAAATGTGATTCACTGTTACTGGCTGTTTTGAAGACTGTAGCTTGTGTAGTGTGTTTTTTCTTTTTCTTTTTTTAGGACCCTAACTTCAACCGTATTGGTCAGTGGTTGAACCAGTCGACGGTCAGCGGCATCCTGGATCTGTCCTATCCTATGAACACAGAGGCCCAACAGGGGTCGTACATCATCACTGCCTGGAACGGGAAAAACGAGGCGACCAGCCAAGACTTTGAAATCAAGGAATACGGTCAGACCGAGAAATGAGCTTCATTATTCAGATATTATGTGTTTAATTATCACAGTGTCCCATTTTATTATAAGGAATTAATTCGTTTTTAATAATTTGTTATAAGAATGTATATTAATATTACATTTAAGTACTATAGTTCAATATCTACCATACATTATGCAAAATCTATTCTGAATTATTCAGTCACTAATGAAAATTATTCAGTATCTACTGTGAGTTATTTAGTATCTACTATAAATAATTCAGTATCTACTGTGACTTATTCAGTATCTACTATACGTTATTCAGTATGTACTCTGAATTATTCAGTATTTACTCTGAATTATTCAGTATATACTATGAATTAGTCAGTATCTACTATGAATTAGTCAGTATCTACTATGAATTATTCAGTATCTACTATAAATTATTCAGTATTTACTATGAATTATTCAGCATCTACTGTGAATTATTTAGTATCTACTATGAAACTGTTCCAAAATTTGTGTAGTTCCCACATACAAGCAACCACAGCTTTGTGTTGTTATTAAACAATTAAAGGGATTCCTTATAAATGAATATTTGTCTGTTTATTAATTTAGTTTCTTCTAAATTATGTTTGCCCTCTTTTGCAGTTCTACCAAAGTTTGAGGTGATTGTCAAGCTTCCTCCAGTCGTAACGGTTCTGGACAAGCAGGCCACTCTGAACGTTTGTGCCAAGTAAGTGATATTTAAAGCGGCCTAAACGAACTGAAACACCTGCCATTATAAATTTACTTGTTGCTGTGGGGTAAAAAAACGGCGTCATTCACCAATAGCTTCCCAAGTTCTCAAGAACACATTTAAGAAAAAAACGTCCTAAGAAAAAGTCTAGATTCATGACGAGTTCTTAAAGCACAGAACTGTTCTCACCTTTGTGCTCTTGAGTGTGTGTAGACTCTGTTCTTACCTAAGAACAAATCCCAAATAAGAAAACACTATATATATATTTTATATATATATATATTATAATTATATATATATATGTATGTCAGAATATAATGAAGACTCCAGGTGGGTTTGAATCCATGATTCCCGTTTACTCAGAACACAGTATCAAAAATCACAAAAACCAGAATAGATCACAACACAGCAAAGTAGTGATGGCACCCTTGAATCTGAAGCTTCGAGGCGTGTGTCAAAAAAAATGACACCCATTGCTTCGAATCAGTGTGTCGGTGCTTGATTCGTTCTACAACGATCATGTGACCAATGACGTCCGAAGCTTCATTTCGGCACACAACCACGTGACTGCTTCGGGAAAAGATTCAAAAGCAGCAAAGCCGGGGGCGCGCTTCGAGGGTCGTTCAGAGTGAGTGAGTGAGTGAGTGAGTGAGTGAGATGAGAGAGTGAGAGAGAGAGAGAGATACTGAAACACAGATGAATAAATTTATTTTAATACATTACTGTTTTATGTATTGTAGCAGAATACATTATTCATCCATCAAAGTTTTCTGCCAAACCCTGGATGTGTGTACCCAAATCAGCAATGAGATACTGAAGACACGCACAACAATTTAGTTTTATTGTTTTTTTTTTATTTAAACAACAAATGCCATTGTTGTAATGCACTCGAACACAGTTTTAAAAGCTGTAAAACAGATGTTCGCCAGATTCATGAAGCACTTTGAGGTTTTGGCCACCAGATGGCACTAATGTGCACTGTGTCATGAAGCTTCGAGTAATGAACCATTTTTCGACACAGTAAGGAGGACAGATTCAGAGCTTCAGAGCTTCATTTTGCCATCACTACAGCAAAGGTACCAAAGGGAGTTCAAGAAACAGAGTCAAAAAGTTCAGAACAGGGTCCAGGCAATCCAAAAAATCAGATTAGAAAAAACAAGGCTTGGTACACAGATGAACCGGCAATACATTGTAGAGATCCAGTGTGAGTGAAGGTCCTTATAAAGGGAGGTTAATGAGCTGCAGGTGAGACAGGGCAAGGTGTCAATAGGGAGCAAGTCAATGCTCAGGTGAGGCTGACCTCTGGTGACGAAGGCGGGTATTGCACCTGACACAGAAAGTTAGTGAAAACTGCATAAGTGGGTTTTAAGAAGACATTTCTTCTCACGAACGGTTGGAGAATGAGACCCATTGTTTCTCCATAAAAGTAACATTCAAGCTGTGCTCATATAAAATTAGACGCTTCGTAGATGCTCAGTCTATTTTTAACTGACATTCAACTAAATATCTATTAAATGCAACTGAAATTGAAGTTGCATGTGAAACATTCTATTAAATCTGTCCCTAACCCTAAACCTAACCTCAAGGCTAAGCCTACACCAACACCAACTCCTAAACCTAACCTTAACCATAATGTTGTTGATAATCAACTGAGTATCACAAGAGTGTTTGTTATTAATATAAGTATCTGTAGATCATCTACAGGGGACCATCCAAATATAGTGTGACCAAAATATTAAAGCCTTGCCATGATTTTGTTTCGGACAGGTTTAGTTTCTAAGTTGTTAAAGGAAATTGTGGGATGCACGACGCAAGACTGGACTGAGTTTCTTCTGCACCAAAACTATAACATGCTATAAATGCTATTTACATAGGTATGCAAAAGTTTGAACACCCCTGGTCAAAATACATGTTTTGTGAAAGTAAGACAACACATCCTCTAGAGGGCACACACAGCATTTTTCTGCTAATTGTAGAGCACAATTTCTATTTTTTACCACATTGGAAAAAAATACAACATATAAAATGTACCAGAACTTTTTGCACAGGCCATACTTTATGTTAGACCCCCCCACCCGACCTTTGTTATGTTCGAATCAGCAAATAAAAAGTAACTGTGCATTCAAATGTGCAGAAGTGTATCTCTGTAGAGGACGTGTTCACTTATTTCCACTTAGAAAATCAATAAATACATGAAATTTGACCAGGAGTGCCCAAACTTTTGCAAACAACTGTTTTAAGCGTTACATTAACAATTCATAACGCAAAATAAAAATGACTATAAAGTGTTAATATTATTTTTTCAATTAATATTTATGGGAATGTTTAAAATCCCTCCTCAGTGCCCTTTAATATATGATGTATGTGTTCTGTGAGATTCTTATGGACGTGCTAGTTGCTGCAGTGGTCAGTGGTGATATGTTTGTTACTCCTGTTGTACCTTTTTTGTTTCCTATGCTGGCAGCTATACGTATGGGAAGCCTGTGAGTGGCTCTGTGAAGGCGGAGGTGTGCCGTAAACGCTTCACCTTCTGGTGGATCAGGCCTGAAAACAACCAGACAACCTTGGACATCTGCAAAACATATTCCATGACGGTTAGTCAACAAAGTTATACCTGCAGTCAAAATTTCAGAAGAGAGCTCTGAAAAAATATTTCTAAACCATTTATGCAACTTTTGATAAGAACCCGGTTTGAGGAAATCTGCATGCTTTTCTTTATTGTGGTGCTATTGTTGTTATTATTATTATTATTATTATTATCTACTTGATAAAGAACTGAAGAATTCATTGTATGTAGTTCTTTTCAAAAAGAGTTATATATAGCACCAAATATGAGTCATAGAACCTGTTTCGGTGCTCTATACACTGTTAGAAATAAAGGTTCTGTGCAGGTACATTTTTTATTCATTAAGATAAAAACATTGTAAATGTTCCCTCAAAGGTACAACAGTGGATTTAAGGTCCAGTTGTGAACCTTAAATAAGTTTTTCCAGGTGAAAAGTTCATATTTGTACCTTTTCATAACCGAATGTTTTAAAACAGAACAGTAAAATAAAGCCTGGAGACGAGACGGGGTGTGTGGAGTCAGTACAGCTTAGAACATATCATTTCAGTGGATTATGGTTCAGTTATGTTCCCTGACTAAAGGTACTGAGATGAACCCTTGATGGGAACCACTTCAGTGACAAGACGGGCACTGCCCCAGTGACAGTTTAGAACCTTTTTTTCTGAGAGTGTAGCGTATAATATATATAAAATATATATGTATTTTATAGTGTATATGTATACGCTAGTGAAGTACATACACTTGTGTTAAAAAAATACATTATATATGTCAATGTGCTGGACATTCTGCTCTCGTTTTTTCTCAGACTGATAAGACGGGCTGTGGATCTACTGTTGTGAATCTGATGGAGTTCGCAGTGACTGAAACACAGTATGAAGACGTTGTTAGTGTGGTGTGTGAGGTGGAGGAGTATGGCACTGGTAAATTCTCCTCAACATCACTCTGCTTAATGTCAGTAATGAATAAATGAGCTCTGATTGAACACAGATGTCTAACAGTTCTGTGTTCCCTCTCCAGGGGTGGTCCTGAAGGGGTCTGGCAGCATGACTGTCACTAGCGACATTGTCACAGTTACCTTTGTGGATGCTCCTCAGGCCTTTAAGCTTGGGATGAGCTACAGAGGAAAGGTAATAAAGGAAGGCGTGTAAGTGGAAAGACCCTTTTAAAACTTGGGATAATGCGGTAAGTAGGGCTGGGCAATAAAACGATAATTATTGCGATTTAACTTTTCTCGATAGAACAATAAGAACTGTTTAATAATTTTCGATATAATAGACCATTATCACACGTCCACATTCTAGCGAAAGCCCTGGTGGCGCTTTCTACTGCAAGGAAAGCGACACTACTCTGCTGTCGCCAGGAGAGGGCACACTTGCAAGTTTTTCGACATGATTAGGAAGGAAGGGGTAAAATAAGTCACTAAATATACTTTAGCAATATCTGAAACGTGGAGTTATATATACCCTGTTTGAGTGGAGTGACCAGTGATCTGTTCTCCTGTGACCAAGTCTGAGTGAGGAGATCAGTGGCGTAACTGTACTGAACTACAGTGAACTCACCTCTTTCTGTACAGCCTAACCAGCTTTGTCCGAGCCAGCTCATGTCTGCTGTTCATACTAAGCTGACGTTGTTGAGAAACTAAACAGTTTAGCTCTGTTTTTGGCCACTTGTTTAGCATTTGTAACGGGATAGCCGAGCACTCGTCACCAGACAGCTAAAAATAATCTGTTTTCTTTCTTAAATTATGACTTTTACAAAAACTGCAGCTGTGCTTTTCCAGCTGATAAAAACAGCTCACCAGACCCTTTCTCCCACTGTCCCCTGAGAGACTTGTGAAATGTTCCACTGGTTCGTGAGTGTTTGTCATGTTCTGACCATAAAGGATAGTTTAAAACCACAGTTAACCACCCAGGAGCAAAACTCAGCCTTCAAACTTGAAAGAAATAATGATTTGACATTTATCGTGATATGTATCGATAGCGAACGATATGAATTTTGTTTATCGTGATAACATTTTGCCCATATCGCCGAGCTCTAGTGATAAGCTTTAGTTTACAGACCTTTAAGGTCTACGTTTGACAACGCTGATGTTTATTTGATGTTGCAGTTAAGCTTTATTCCAGTCGTCGTATTGTCATGCCACTGCTTGTTGCTATTACATTATGCTTTTTTATTAAAATCTCATTGGTATATCAATAAAGTCACATGGTTAAAGATTAGCATTGGTTTGATCTAAATAACTGACATTTGTCCCACCTTGATTTATTAAAGCTCATCTTTTGGTTTGTTTGTTTTTCAGTCTGTGTTGATGACGTTTGTCTCCTGTTTCATTAGGTTAAAGCTACTGGTCCAGACTCCAGTCCTGTCAAAGGTGCATCAGTGTTTCTAACAGTGAGGTACGGCGGAAACAAAAATGTGACCTGGACAGTAGTCACAGATGTCAACGGCACTGCCCCCTTCAGCCTAAACACGCTTCTGTGGGGGTCAGAAGCAGTTTCTTTGGAGGTGAGTGATTGTAGCTTTATTGTGAAAGGCGCTGGCCCCTTAAATGTCCAGGGCCCACCAGCAGGCCCAAAGTTTTAGTACACACTTCTGTAATCTAAGAATAGCTCAGCCAGTTTGCACTGAAGTCCCTGTGGTTGCTGAATAATAAGCCTTAGTATGTAATAAGCCTGAGATTTTAAACTCTATACTGTTCTATATGTACTCTATGGTAACTCTACACTACACTACTCTACTCTGTACAACATTTAGACGTAATTCTTTATTTTTATGTTATATTGTGGGTCGGCGAGGAATAAGACACTGGAGACGTGGCACATAAGGGCAAGTGCTCTTTTATTGAACATCAACTACTCCACAGCCCATATAGCACCAAAAAGCGTTCTTCTATTCTTCTAATATCAACCTTGTAACAATAGAAGAACCCTTTATGGCGCTATATAGAACCCTTTTCAAAAGGATTCTATATAGAACCATACACAACACATTTCCCATCAATCTGAAAACCATTTCACCATGCAAATCATGTAAAGGGTTCTTTGAGTGTTCATGGTTCTACATGGAATTATTTTCTCTACTAACGAGCCCCTCTTTTTTAAAAGGTGAATAAACATAAGAATCCATGATTTGTTGGTTCTCTTGAGCCTTTATTTAACTGACAAAAGTACAACGAAATGACATGAATGTCTGACCAAGTTGATCGCATTTTGTAAATATAAACAAATTTCGAATATGATTTTACAAAACTTTTCAGAAATAGTGTTTGTATTTCTGTCTACGTGTTCGAGTTACATGTAGATGATTGGTGAGAACAGAATTGTCCTTGGTGCCTGTAGTGTTTTGCCTTAATGTACGTTTTCTGTCCTGTTTCTATCTGCAGTTGCACATCTGAACACCGTTTTTCTTCTATATTCTTAAACAGGCTTCATATCAAAAGGTGCAGGAACAGCAAGAAAGCGCTGATAATGTGCGCATACCAAACTATCCCACTGCGTACTACTGGGTCCAGCCTTTCTACTCCAAGAGCAAAAGCTTCCTGGAGCTGCAGCCTTCGCCAGACGCGTTGAGCTGTGCTAAACCCGCCGTTGTGGAGGCTCAGTACATCATACAGGGCAAAGAGATTAAACCAGGCCAGCGGTCCCTGGACTTCTTCTACATGGTACCTGCTAAGGAAATGTTTTTATATACATCTTCCGAATATGTATCAAATCTCAGATTTGCAGTGTGTGCGCCCTCAGTGCTGCGAAGTGTAAATAGGTTAATGCATCCTTTACAGAGAACACATGTCTGCACAGTTTAAGGCACAATCTCTGCTTATTTGCTGTTATAAACAAACAATTTTTTTCCAAAATGTTAAACTTAGCAGATAAACAAATTATGTGCTAAAATCTAACATATATGTACATATATGATTATGCAATAGTTAGTTCCGGCCATGCAAGCTGATTGGTTGAGAAGTGTTGTAACCGTACTGTTATTTCACCATAACATCACGTTTTTTTCACAAACACTGTATCACTCTGCTAAGACGCCATTGCTAAGCAATGAGTTTGACAGCTGTAGGATTTGAACGTTTTTACTTCTTTGCGCACTGTGGACACTTTTAAGATCACATTTGACCGACAGCCGATTTGGTCAGACTCTGAAGATGAGACGACACTAAATTCCCAAACTGTCATCACCACTGAGCAGCTTTTCAGTTGGCAGCTGTGACAGAAGAACAGCTAAACAACCTGGAATCAGCCAGAAATGAACCTGATACCATTCGCCAAACGTGTAGTTTCGTCTTCAGAGTCTGACCAAATCAGACTGAGCCATAAAACTGACCCAATAAAAAACAAAAAAGCTGCTCAGTGGTGATGACAGTTTGGGAATTGCAAGTGAATTATTAATATAAGCAAACTGATGGTGTGGGAACAAGCCTTATATCTCCATGTACACACACACATATATATATATATATATATATGTATATATATATTTGTATATATATGTGACAGGCTCAGGCAGCCGTGCCAGAATGTCATGAAGAACGAACCAGTATCGGATGAAATGGTCCTAAATCTTTTTACATTAACTTATATATGATTGTTTCGATTTGATTTTTGGAGATGTGAGGTTTTGTTCCCCCCTAGAATGAGTGTATATATTGCTGTACATTGGATTAACAGCTTAAATAACTGATTAACTCTTTACCTGTTTGTGCAGGTGATGTCCAAAGGCAGCTTGGCTCAGTACGGACATCTTTCAGCAGCCATGAAAAAAGGAACAGGTCTGTTTAACTCACTCTTCATCCACAACAAGATATTATAACATTTAAAATGAATAAATGCTGGACAAATCCAGTACATTACCACCCCATTAGCAGGCCTGTGTGTTAACAGGTTGGTACTTATTCCCACTTAGAAAATCTAGAAAACGTCATTTGCACAGGACTATACATACTGTGTATCTCCCTCGCTTTCTGTCTTGACAGTGAACAAAGGGAAGCTGAGGTTTTCACTGCAGAAGATGGATGCTTTGGCTCCGTATGCTCAGGTGGTGGTGTACACTGTGCTCCCGAGCGGAGAGGCTGTGGCCGACAGCAAGGATTTCCCCATTCAGCTGTGCCTGACCAACAAGGTGAGGACTGGAAATTACACTGATCAGATTACTTGTCTTAAAAAAAGTGCTGGATTATTCTGTTCATTTTAAAAGGCCAGTATTGTGGAACCACAGGAGTCCTAAAGGGCTATGGAGTTATTTTTACACCACTTTTCCATAAAAACAAGTTATTTTCATTTATTTTGAGATTTTGAGTTATATATGTCAGTTCCTCAACACAACGGATGTTTTTTTTCAAGATCTCAAGATACACCAATCAGGCATAACATTATGACCACCTCCTTGTTTCTACGCTCATTGTCCATTTTATCAGCTCCACTTACTATATAGGTGCACTTTGTAGTTCTACAGTTACAGACTGTAGTCCATCTGTTTCTCTGATACTTTGTCAGCCCCCTTTTACCCTGATCTTCAGTGGTCAGGACCCCCATGGACCCTCACAGAGCAGGTACTATTTGGGTGGTGGATCATTCTCAGCACTGCAGTAGCAGTGGTGGTGTGTTAGTGTGTGTTGCGCTGGTCTGAGTGGATCAGACCCTTTTTTTTTTATTTGCAAATATTGTCACTTATTTCAAGAAATAATGCAGATTATTGTGTGTTTTCATGGAATTATGCTTAAAACAAGTATAGTTGTAGTACAGTCTGCTCTTTCTTGTGGTTCCTCAGGTGTCTTTGACGTTCCCCTCTCCTACGGAGCTCCCCGGGGGTCAGACGTCCCTCATCCTGAAAGCTCAGCCCGGGTCACTGTGCTCTGTGAAGGCCATTGATCGGAGTGTGCTGCTGCTGAAACCAGAGAAGGAGCTGAACCTTGAATTTGTAAGTTCAAACTGGAACAAACTTGTTTTAAAGGCAAGAAAGCCCGACATCGGGACAATTCTTTATAATGACTGTTGTTTGCAAACCTTTGGCCTGCAGTGTGAATGCCCTTTAATATTTACAAGTAGTTACAATTCCATCCATCATCTAAACCGCTTATCCTTCTGGGTCGCGGTGGGGTGCTGGAGCCTATCCCAGCTGTCATTGGGCGGAAGGCAGGATACACCCTGGACAGGTCGCCAGTCCATCGCAGGGCAGACAGACAGACATACACATTCACACACACACTCACACCTAGGGGCAATTTAGCACCTTCAATCGGCCTGACTGTATGTTTTTGGACTGTGGGAGGAAACCGGAGTACCCGGAGGAAACCCACGCAGACACGGGGAGAACAGGCCAATTGTCATATATTTGCACTGAACACAAATATAGACATTTTATTTACTATCCAAAACCACCAGTGAACCTACACAAGTCTTCTATGAGTTTTTATATGGAATGTTGATGATGCATGTGTAATAGGGACAACACTCTGCATGTAACCTTCTGCCATGAATGTATTCAAATAAATAGATTAAGAAGACATTTTAGGCCAAACCTCTATCACAAAACTATCGATTAACAATGTTTTAGGCATCAGACAGCGTAGATCTAACCGTTTTGTATAATAACTTTCTCTGAGGGACCTTTTAGAGGTGATAAACCCCTCAGAAATCTGGTTTCTATCACCACCGCTGTCAGTAAGTTTCTCTAGAACAGAGCATTTCACACCAAACCACTCTGAATGATTTTGTTTAAATCTTAACAATTTAATTATGTGGAACTTTTAAAAACTTGGTGGAGTTACCCTTTAAGTCCAAATGATTCATTATTCAGCGCCAAGAAAACAGAAAACAGACATTTCAATATTGAGAAATGGAGGTAATATTACTAAACAAATAAAACTGAAGGAATGTCTTTGAAAAATAATTTGCAAAATGTAAATAGTAGAAATGCAAATGAGGAAAAGTTAGGACACCACCACATTCATTACTACCTAAAATGCCTAAAATTAAAATGAGGTGCACGTCATCAGCTGCAAATGATTGGGACATCGTTAGAGAGGATTTGTCTCATTAAAACCTCATATAGTTTGATTTGCTCTTGATTGCCGAAGCGAGTGGTATCACCATGGTGAGATCCAAAGAGCTCTTTGAGGCTGTCAGAAAGAAGGTTGTAGAGTCTGTGAAGGGATTTAAAAAGATCCCAAAACAATTAGAAATCAGCCTTTTCACTGTCCGGAAAACAATAATAACTGCCAGCATGGCCAGGTCAGGCCATCCAAGCAAGTTCAGCCTTAAATCTTAAACAGTCCTAAAATGTCATCACAGGACTTACAGGTACACAGATGATGTACATGCATCTACCATCAGAAAAAGACTGCACAAGTTTGTTTTTTAGGAGAGGTGTGCAAGAAGGAAAGCCTTGCTGTCAAAAAAGCCCAAAAAACATCAGGGCAAGACTACAGTTTGTCAGAAAAACACCTCAAAAAAGAACAGGACGTCTAGAACACTGTGCTTTGGACAGATAAATCTGAAGTTGAATTATTTGGGCACAGTAACAGTAACAAAGGACATGTTTGGTGCAAACCAAGCACAACATTTGAGCACAAGAACCTCATACAAATGTTGAAGCATAGAGGTGCAAATGTCATGGTTTGGAGCTGCTTTGCTGCAGCAGAGCCTGGCAAGCTCTCCATCATAGAATCCACCATGAATTCTTTATTGTATCAGCAGGTGTTTGAGAAAAGCGTGAGACCATCTGTCCAAAAACTGAAGCTGAAGCAGAGTTGAACCATGCAACATGACAATGACCCAAAACATCCCAGTAAATTCACAAAGAAATGGCTCAAAAGAAAGAAACGGAGAGCTTTGGATTGACCAATTTAAAGAATTTTAATTCTATTGAGGTGCTGTGGGGTGATTTGAAACAGGCTGTGCACACCTGAAAGAATTCTGCATGTAGGAGTGGGAAAATCTTTCTCCCAGTCGATGTCAGAGACTATTTGAGGTTGTTTCCCAGCTATTAGGGCATAGGGTGTCCCAACCTTTTTTCTCAGTGGGATTTTTTTCATCTTTTTTTTTAGTTTTTGTTAGATAAATGATAGCAAAAGCAAATTTTCATTGTTTTTTCAAAGATGATGCAGTTACATACATCGATATTGTTTGGAAGAAGAGAAAATATTGATAAGCCAATAATTCTTAACAAAGAACTAAATATTTAACGTGGTGTCTGTAGTTTTTTCACTTGACTATATACTCACACATTCAAAGTGCACGTTTTAATTCTTTTTTTTGCTGCTTGCAACTACAGAAGTGGGTTTAGTGGAGCGTGATGATTGGTTAGTGAGGCACTGACTTGTGTAGATGCCTTTCACAGATAGTTGTTGAGAGATCACAGCGTCAGTCCTGGATCCAAACTCATCTCATGTGATTCCAGGTCTTCAACTTGCTGCCCGTCCAGAGGTTGTCAGGATATCCGTACACCGTTTCTGATGAGGATCTGTACCCTTGCTATGAGAGTCCACCTATCTTTATGCCACGGCCTCTTCCTGTCCTGGATGCAGTGCCTGCTCAACTGAATCCAAGATTCAAGCCCCTTTTCGTTCCTGTTATCGACAGAAATGTCAACGTATACGACGTCTTTAAAGTAAGAAATCATCGTTGTTTTTACAGAGAACTTTGCTGCAAAACCCTCATGTTATGATCTTTGTGAAACTAGTTTTGCTTGTGTTTCTCAGGATATTGGAGTCAAGATCCTCACCAATGCTGAAATAAAGAAGCCTGTGAATTGCAGTGGTCCCATCTACTATCGTAAGTGATATCAAATTAATGACCTAATTTTAAATAAATAAAACTGAGCTAAATGTCTGATAACGTTTCATTTCATGTTCAATCCACAGCTATGAATATGGAGAGACCCATGCTCTTTGCCAGAGAAGGGGTTGCATTTGCTGCAATGGACGCTGCAAGTAAAAGTGAAAGTGGAAGTGAAGCAGTGAACACTGTCCGTACATTCTTTCCAGAGACTTGGGTTTGGGATCTCGTTCCAGTGGGGTGTGTATATGCAGACTTATGACACATTGGCACAAAATGTATAGCAGTTTCTAAATTATGTCCTTTTCTTGGGGGGTCAACAGGCCTTCCGGAGCTATGGGGGTTAAGAAACTTGTCCCGGACACCATCACTTCATGGTCAGCTGGAGCATTTTGTACCTCATCAGTTGGGTTTGGAGTGGCACCAAAAGCTGAGCTCACTACCTTCCAGCCCTTCTTCGTTAGCCTGACCCTGCCTTACTCCATCATCCGTGGAGAACTGTTTGTACTCAAGGCTTCCGTCTTCAACTATCTCAAAAGCTGTGTTATGGTAAGCATATCTCTGCAGATGGCTTTCAAAGCACTCTAACTTGACCTAGGAACTGGTATTCACTCTAATAATAACTGGTATTTACTCTAACTTGACCTAGACAAGAGGTATTTACTATAATATTGTCTGTACTGTTGCCCTAATAACTGTCTGTAATCTAAAGTCTCCAAAAAGAATTAAAAGAATTAGAAGAATCAACAGAAAAGAAAAAGGATATAAAGGAATGAAAAAGACTTCAGCCGCTGAGTTCTTGTGGAAGGAAGGAAAGGCCTTCGCTATATTGAACATCAAGTGGCAAGATGGTTCTCGGTCAACCACAATGCGAATATCATCTCAAAACATCCCTTTTTATTTCCCTCTGGGGCGATGAGGTGATCTCCCCACCCCTTTTCACACAATTCCATACCATTTTAGTCCCCGTCATATACGAACCTTACAGCTTTTTGGGTAAACTTTAAACGAAACGCATATGATGTCTTTTTTTTAACCCACTCTGGTCTGACTCTTACCAGACTGTTCCCTCCTTACAGGGCCCTCTTGCACAACTCTCCATAGGGCCATCTTACACAACCCTCCACAGACGTACAAGAGTGAACCTCAGCTACTTAAACGGTCATCTGGTCCAGCTCCCTTCTGTGAGCTCAGAAGCTCTTCCCCCCCGTTAGAGAGTGCAACTCATACAGTCCAGTCTGCTTCCCTATATTACCTTTTTTAGGAGGGCTCCAAACTCTCTAGTCAGCCAATGTGTTATTCAATCTTTTCCATCAGGGACAGTGCCCATAAAGAAACACTGACCGCAGTAAATGAGCCACAGTCAGCCCAAAGGGCCAATTTTTGTCTGTCGTCCCTGACCAGATCTTAAAAGGCACCTTAAAATAGCATTGCTTTTAAAAGTACAGATTGACCCAGTCAAAAAGCATAGCTTATATAACAGCGTAGTTCACGCGATAGTAAAATCGTGCACTCTTAAGATAAAGATTCTTATCGTCAAGGTTCAAGTCATGCACTGAGCAAAACTGCAGATTTAACCTTGTAAATGAAACTGATAAAAAGATTATGGACCAGACTTGATGAAGATGGGAAAGAGACAAAACGGGCAGGGAAAAGAGACAAAACAAGACAACACGATCAGCCACAAGATAACAAAACAACACAGATGTTGGAATGTTTATACATCTTACCATGAATAAATTTCATGATTTCACACAACTATGTGTAAAAGAACTGTTAGTGTTAAGTATCTCTTGTTTCCCTTTCCCTGCTCTGCTGAGCTTTAGTCTGTATGTTACATGTGTTCCTCACAGAGGACACCAAGTATATCTATGTGTACTGAAGTGTTTCACACTGCTGCAACAGTTAAATAGGTACTTTCAGAGGCATCGGTTGGAATAGAAATTTCATACAGGGGCCTCATCTCATTTCCCATAGCAGAACCTGTCATAGCATTAAAACGTGACAAAATGTTCATAATTCTACTCTTTATTTTCTACATCTCCACATTTCCACCACTTACTTGGCTGTGAATATGAATATAAGCAGCTTTATGATGATCCAGCTACAGAAATTTAGTCATGGAATAATGAAGATATTGTGGTTTAAGTAGTGTACACAGGCCTTAATATAGCAGGGGAGGCTAGAGAGCATCCTTAGTGGACAAAATGTTCACAATTTAAACCTTTACCTTTGGTGGAGAAAATTGCATCTTAACACAAAATCAAAGCATAAAGTTTACTGTTGATATATGAGGAAAACGTCAGACATGCAAAAAAAAAGTAATATTGTTTAAAAATTCTGTTTAGACAGCCAGATCCACTACACACGTACAGGTGTGATTTATACACCTTTTCTGCTCAGTTCCTGCACCCTTGGGATTGGCTATTTAGTAAAGACCTGGTTATATACAGAACTATGACCCCTCAAAGATTCGTTTAAATGCTGGTTCTATGCATATTTAAAGAGTTATTCTTCATGGTAGAAAACCTGTTCAATATTGTTCTGTAAATGACCATTTGAAAATTGGCATCAAAGGTGTGCTGTATTAAAAGTCCTAGAACCTTTTTAGTTCTATATAGGCCCTAATTATGTGTTCTCTGTGCTAAAGGTGAAGGTGACGCTGGCAAACTCACAGCAGTTCGTAGCTCAACAGTGTGTGGGATGCCAGTACACTCGCTGTCTGTGTGCCGAAGAGAGCTGGACTTTCGTATGGAGAATCCAGCCCACCGTTCTGGGTAAACTGACCTTTTGATATCTCAAAATGGACATTTTCATGTAGATGTAAGCTTTTGTCTTTTTTGTTGTTGTTGCTGCAGCCTGAATTAACAAAATGGTACATATAAACGGAAATAAATTGTCTTAACGTAAACTGTCTGTTGTCCCTACGGCCACCACTTTAAAATCACGCCTGCCATGAAAGTCATGGTTAACATTCTGAGTTACTTAACGTTTGGCCTATGGCACCATTATAGACCTCACCTGTTGCAGTTGAATCGTATCCCACAATACTGTGTGGTCCAGTTCAGTTCCGGTTTCACAGTAGTTTGTTGTTTGGTGACAGGAATCTACCTGCCCTGTGTTGTCCTTATTAAATTTCTGAATACAGTTCTTTCCTGTGATAAATTTCTGGTAAATATTGTGAAATTCTTGCGATACTTAACAGTATGTGTATGTATATGTATGCGTGTATGTATGTATGTATGTATGAATGCATGTATGAATGAAATAGGGACGGTGAGCTTTAATGTGAGTGCAGAGGCCCTGCAGACGACGGTGCTGTGTGGTAATAAGCCGGTGACTGTGCCAGATAAAGGACGCATCGACACTGTGGTGCAGACGCTGCTAGTGGAGGTGAGTTTCTCTGTGTATTTAACTGTAATGACCCCTTATCCTTCTGGGTCGCGGGGGGGAGTCTATCCCAGCGGCGGAAGCCAGGAAACACCCTGGACAGGTCGCCAGTCCATCCCAGGGCATGAATGATTCAGTAACAAGTATAAATCATTTAGTGTCTACACTGAATGTTTTAGTATGTACTGATAATGAATTAGTATCTACTATTAATGATCCAGTAACTACTCTTATGCATTCAGTCTAGTATGAATCATTCAGAAACTTCCTCAAATTGTTCAGAAACTACTATGAATTGTTCAGTAACTTCTGTGAAATTAATGTGTAAGTGAGAAGCCGAAATGTGGACCTACATACAGACCCTTAGGGCCAGTTTCCAAGACCTAGACTAAGCCTTAGCCTAGACTGAAGAAAATTTCACCACTGGTACTGTAGTTTAGTTTACGACTAGGCTTATTCAGTGTCTGGGACCTGGTCCTTAGAGTGTACGGGGCTAAACTTTTCCGTAGAATATTTGATTGAATTTGAATATGGCCAGTTCAATGATTTAGTCTGATAAATTGCCATGTGAGTTGATAGTCAGGTTAACTGAGTATAGTCAGTATGGTCTGATCAGTGCTGTAATGCTCACTATTCTCTTTCCATGGTCAGGCAGAGGGAACCAAACAGTTCAACAGTTACAACGGGCTGCTGTGCCCCACAGGTCAGACTCACTGCCCTTCTTTTGTCCTTAACATCTGACAATTCATGTGTTTTTGCACATTTTGAACTATAAATAGTGGTGAGTAGTTGTTGCGATTAAACTGCAATAAAAATATATGAGTGTTTAATAACGTAACTTAGTTGAATAGAATAGCTTAGTATAAAAGTGAGATTTTTCTGTGGCCTTTAGGTGTTCTAAGTTTCATACTAACGTTTAGAGGATTTTGCAAGATGTCACATCATTAGCATTATCTCACTGTGATGTGCACTGAGAAATCATGTGTTATATCATTTTATGTCATTTAAAATAAAAAAAATATAAAAAAGTCTAGTTTTTCAGTCAGGCCTGGTGAGGATGTAGTGTGAATGTATTCTGAATATGTCCATTTTGTATGTACTGTAATGGGATACATTACAGAGTACATTCAGGAAATTTAGTATTGAGCCCTCATTTCTTTTCTGAGTTTGTTGCTGAACTCTGTGTCTCACTGTAATGTTTCTTTCTCTCCTGTAGGGGTCGCTGTTGAGACTATCGTCTCGCTGAAGCTGCCTGCGGTAATTGTGACAGGTTCTGCCACAGCTTCGGTCTCTGTGCTGGGTAAGCCTGCAGAACACAGAGCAACACTGTTTTGTACTGAAATCCTCACTCCTGCACTTTCATTACCTGCTGTTCTGTTAAAGGGACACTGTAAGCAGTACTTCAACTCACCTCCTGCAGGGGTCTCTAGAGTGAGATTTCCTGCTGAAAACAGGAGGAACACCCCCTACAGATTATGTATCCTGAAGGTGGGAGGGGTTTTTGAAAGACTGCGTTAGTGTGGATATTTGAGGCTGTTTTCTCCCTGCTAGCTGCTTAATTAAGAAGGAAGCCAGAGTTAATGTTTATCTGTGTTTAGTAGCTTTTACAGCAGCAGTCAGAATTTCTTTATTGTGACTGCTAGGGAGTGGGGGGTGGTCCCTAGTGGCTATATGACATATTTTAATAATGTATGCCGGTGTGGTGGTGTAGTGAGAGAACACTGATGAACAAAAACAGGAAAACAATACAAAATTGATGAGGCTGAGGAGTTCAGTGCTGCATCACAGAATACTGCATAGCATTACAGATAACTTATTAAATACTAGTTTTAGGCCAAAATGACCCTTTAACCTCCTAAAATCCCAGATCTATTAGTACTATGGCATATTATTCAGTAATTACAGGGACTTCAATGCAAACTGGCTGAACTATCCATGGTTCTATTATAGAAGTGTGTAATAAAATTTTGGGCCTGCCGGTGGGCTTCGGCCATTTAAGGGTTTAAGCAAGACCCTGCAAAAGTTACATTAGCATAAAGCAGATGTGTGCCCGTGCTTGGCACACAATCTAACAATAATCCCTAACAATAAGCTTAATGCTCATCAAAATGTAAGAAAATAGAAAATAAAAAATAGAAAACAGGAGAAAATAGAGTGGCCTTTGGTTTTGTTCAGGAGCCCATGTTTAACCCCTTAAAATCCAGGCTTTTACATGCTACATATATTCAACAGCAACAGGGACTTCAATACGAACGGGCTGAGTTTTTCTTAACAGAACAGAAGTGTGAAGTAAAACTTGGTTCCCCCCGAACAGGCCCTGGCCATTTAAGAGCTTAATGTGGTTTTTTCAGTTAAAATCAATTAACACATCCTCTACGAAAAACTAATTACTGCACATTTTAGTACATATTTATTATCGCTGAATTGAACAGCAATTTAACAGTAAAGTGCTGTCGCCTCACAGCAAGAAGGTCGTGGGTTCAAGTCCCGGCTGGGTGACTGGGGTCCTTTCTGTGTGGAGTTTGTCTCCCCGTGTCCATGTGGGTTTCCTCCCACAGTCAAAAGACATGCAGTCAGGCCAATTGGACATGCTAAACTGCCCCTTGGTGTGAATGTATATTAAGTAATTAAGTGACCCTTATTAGTCCCCCCAAATTTCACCTCCGTATTTAACCCATCCGTGCAGTGAAACACCACAAACACTATAGAAGACACACACTAGGGGGCAGTGAGCACACTTGGCACTTGCCCTTGCACCTCAGTCATGTACTGTTGGCTCGGGGGATCAAACCGGCGACCTCCCGGTCGCAAGGCTGGTTCCCTAACCTCAAGCACACAACATGTCTGTCTGCCCTGTGATGGACTGGCAACCTGTCCAGGGTGTATCCTGCCTTCCGCCCAATGCTGGCTGGGATAGGCTTCAGCTCCCCCCACAACCCAGAAGGATAAGCGGTTCAGAAAGTGTGTGTGTGTCTGTGTGTGTGTGTGTGTGTGTGTGTATAAGCATAAAAAATGCTTTTTTTCCCCTAATGTGTTAAATTTAGTAAATAAACAGTAATTGTGTGTTAAAATGTGTAGAACTGAGTTCTCTGTAGAGGACATGTTCACTTACGCTCACTCTGAAAATCAACAACATATCATTTAACCAGGGCCGTCAAACATCTTCATGCGAGCGCACTGAGGAACTCTGTCTTCTTTCTGCAGGAGACCTGATGGGCCGTGCTCTGAGGAACATCGACCGTCTGCTGGCCATGCCGTACGGCTGTGGAGAACAGAACATGCTGCTCTTCGCCCCCAACATCTACATCCTCCTGTACCTGCAGAGCAGCGGACAGTTGACCGCAGAGATCCGGAAGAAAGCTGAGACGTTCCTCGTGAGCGGTGAGGAACATCTCGGATTGATTTGAGATTTGAAGCAGCAGGAGATTAATTTCTGCCCTTTCAGTCTTTTCATCAGTTATTAGAAATTCGTTACAACATAAATTAATTTGCTTTTCTTAAACTATTAATTTACATACGTTTAAATCAATTGATTTGCATACTACTGATTTGATTAATTAAATGCAGGTTGTAATTTTAAATTAATAATTTCTGACTCATAATAGCTCAAGGAAACAAGTGGAGAAATTGTGTGGAAAGTGCAGATGGTACACTTTCAATCCATAACTCGTTAGTGGAGATATTTAATTATAGTGCGAATTTGATGAAAAGTTATTGTTGTGTTTACAGGCTTGTTTTAGAGAAAAAATTTCGAGGTGGTGCTTTCTTTAACAGTCCCTTAAGTTCTTGGTATTAATTCAGCAAGTGTGAGAGTACTAGATAATTATTTTGGGTTACATAGTAAGTCGGTAAGTTCCAAGACAGTTCAAATAAATTAATCAGAAGTACCAAAGAGGTTCTAGATATTAAGTAGGTAAGTGTGGGGTACAGAATTCAAAGTACTAGATCATTATTTTAGGTAAAATGGGTAAGCACCCAGACAACCTGTTAGTTTCTGGATATTAAGAAGATAAAACAGTAAAATATTTCATAACTAAAAGATTATTTTGGAGTAATAAAGTGGCAAGAACAAGCAAACTCACTAAATTTCAGAGTAATCTCACACGTTTAAGCAGGAAATTAAATCACAAACATCTATAAATGGCACAGCCACCAGTAAAACTATAGGATCATCGCTTGCCGTTACAGTCCAGATTCACTTTCGGTTCTAGGTAACAGGCTCTTATGTCTTTTTACCACTATTTTCCTCCATTACTTTGGTATTTCCCCACATAATTATTAAAATATGAAATGTTTTATTTATATTTAACCTACTTTATAGCAAGTACCTGCATCCAGAGTAATTTAGTTAGACTGTCTGGTAATCCCCCGATTTTACTCAAAAGAATTACCTAGTTCTTTTGTAGAACATATCACACATTTACCTAGGGAATATCTAGAACCCTGGTTCTCAAACTGGTCCTCAGGGCCCCCAAATGGTTTAATTTTTTCTGTCATCCCTAAGTGTTGCGAGTTGTGTTGGAGCAAAATTGTGGGCCACCTGGGGGACCCTGAGGACCAGGTTGGGAACCACTGATCTAGAACCTGTTTGCCATTTCAGTATAATTTTTCACAACTTGTCTAGAATTTATGTAGAACTTAACAGACTGTGAAATAAAGCATCACCAACATCAATTAAAATTTAGCCATGTTATTTTAATCAGTTTTTACATTGAAAGAAACAGAAAATAACTGTAAACTGATGGAATTAATTATGTAACCATGTAAATAATCATGTAATTGTGTTACTACAATTAAACAGTGCAGCCAAACAACATAATAACTCTGGACTCCTGAGGGTTAAGCTGTCTGAGTCTCTTTTACAGTGAATGAGCTGGTTTGCTTGTTTGTCTCATGTCCTTTACAGGCTACCAGAGAGAGCTGAGCTACAAGCATGACGATGGGTCTTATAGTGCTTTTGGGAAGAGCGATCCGTCAGGCAACACCTGGTCAGTCCAGGAGAAAGAAAAGAAAACAATAATGCAGCTGACATAAGATACTCAATACATCAGGCCTTGTGCTGCTCCTTATTAAGAAGCTTAAAAATGTGTCAAAAGTACAGCAAAACAGGTTTAAAGTTCCTGAGACACAAATTAAGTTCAAGCCTAGACAGAGAGCTTTTACTAAAAATCTTATTCAGGACTAGACTAAGTTCTACACAAACACACAGTGCTCAATGATGGGTGATTTCTTTAAATATAAATCATTAAACGACACACAGAAAGGTTTAGGATTCCTCTGGTCTGTGTCCTCAGGTTAACAGCGTTTGTGATGAAGTCCTTTGGAAGTGCAAAGCAGTTCATCTTTATAGACCAGCTGTATGTGGACCAGGCCAAGACTTGGCTGGGTCAGCAGCAGCAGAATGGCTCCTTCGCCTCAGTGGGTCAGCTCTTCCACAGCGACATGAAGGTCAGGCCTTAACACAGCTGCTGCAGTGTATCTTGGTCCAGAGTGAGATGGCAATGTGCTGTATTAACGGGGAATCCCCCTTTCTGGTTTTCCAGAAAAATGCATAATTGAGTGTTCAGATGTAAACAGAGTGATTCAGAGTGGTTTGGTGTGAGATGGTTGATTGTAGAGACTCTGATTTCTTTACAGTGGTGGTGGTAGGAACCAGGGGTCACCATAAGTACAACACAAATATAGACATTTTATTTACTATCCATCTTTCTATCATAACTATTTCCTACATAACTTTCTGTGAGGGAATTTTAATTGTAAATCCTATATGTGATGATACTTTTGTGTAGGACTGGTGAGCTTTTGGTACCACTTGTAGTAAAATTACAGGAAAGCTTATTCCTTTGCAGTCAAATCACTTGAATCTTAGTGCTTTAATAAAGAATCTTAAAGCAAGCTTATTAAATATTGAAATATATCACGTAATAAATTTGTAGTATATTGTAGGGATGGGTTGAATAATGTAGGGAAGCTTTGAATATTTGAATAGTCATGAAAAAGGAGAAAATGAAAAAGTAAATTATGATTTTTGATACACAAATTAGCCTCTCTCACACCTTACACTCTCATGTGGACCATGAGAATTAGCATCTTTGCATTAGCATATTTGATCTTTATGCTCCACCAGATAACAGAGTAGAACCAGCGTCTTGTATTTTGTACAGAATTCTTTTCTTTTCCACTCTAAACAGGGAAGCATAGAAAGACTACTGCAGCCGACTGAATGCACCGCACTACTCTAGGATCTCTGGTGCTGGTTAGCAGATAGTACAAAGTGCAGCTATAGCACATAGGAAGCGTCACATAAACATCAAACTGAGTTAAATTTACACCCTCGTCATATTAATGTAAAAGAAAAGAACTTTCAGCATCATTTGGTGAATTTATCAGTTTTGGTATCAGCTAATGACTCCTCATGAACTCATTGTTTACAGTTGAAAGGTATGAAGTTGAATATGATAAAAAAACAGACAATTATCTGTACGGTTAATGTTAAAGATTTTAGATTGATGCTTTACTACTACGGATTTGTGGTTTAAGTCTGGGTTTAATACAGTACAGTAATGGGAAGATGCTGAGTGGCCTCACTGTTTCTGGTGGTGTCCTATGGATGTGTTTTTTTCTGTCTCTTTCTTTGCATTTATTTTAATATTAGTTATTTTTTTATCTATATTTTGTAAACTATCCTTTTTAGTATTCCAGTGTAGTGCTTTGTAATCTCAGGTTTATAGAATGGATGCTATAGTTGTTCTGTCTTTAAATCTCTTTCTCTTTATCTATCTTTATTTCTATCCTCCCCATCACCACCAACCCACCTTCCACCCCCCTCAGGGAGGTGTGAATGATGAGGTGACCCTCACAGCGTATATCACAGCTGCCCTGTTGGAGTTGGGCACTCCGCTCACAGTAAGTGAATGAATTCACTTTCCACTCAAATTCAATGAGCTGTATCAAACAAAACGGCTGATATTTTCAATATTTTCAGGATCCCATGGTAGAAAACAGTCTTGACTTCCTGAGAAACGCCTTCACTCAGCTCAACTCCATCTATGCCACGGCTCTCCTCTCCTACGCCTTCACTCTAGCTGGAGACCAGGGCATGAGGATCCAGGCCCTCACCGTCCTAGATAATCAGGCCATAGTCGAAGGTTGGACACACTTACGTCTTAGTAAAATACCTGCTCAACAAAATCTGAAGCTCCACTTCTTAAAGCCCAAAGCACATCTAACCTAACGTGAACAAACCCAGATGTTGGGTTGGTGTGTAGTACCTCAGTGACTCTTGACAAGTATGATGTCCTCAATTCACACTAGAAGCAGCCGGTTGTTGGAGAATTAAGGTTTGTGCTGTGAACTTCAGGTGTTTGGTGGAGAATGTAGGTGTTTGTTGGAGAATGCAGGTGTTTTGTGGAGAATGAAGGTGTTTGTTGGAGAATGTGGATTTTTGGTGAAGAATGATGGTGTTTGTTGGAGAATGATGGTGTTTGTTGGAGAATGATGGTGTTTGTTAGAGAATGATGGTGTTTGGGGGAGAATGATGGTGTTTGTTGGAGAATGATGATGTTTAGGGGAGAATGATGGTGTTTGTTGTAGAATGATGGTGTTTGTTAGAGAATGATGGTGTTTAGGGGAGAATGATGGTGTTTAGGGAAGAATGATGGTGTTTAGGGGAGAATGATGGTGCTTGATAGAGAATGATGGTGTTTGATAGAGAGTGCTGGGGTTTGGGGGAGAGTGATGGGGCTTAGGGGAGAATGATGGTGTTTGGGGGAGAATGATGGTGTTTAGGGAAGAATGATGGTGTTTAGGGGAGAATGATGGTGCTTGATAGAGAATGATGGTGTTTGATAGAGAGTGCTGGGGTTTGGGGGAGAGTGATGGGGCTTAGGGGAGAATAATGGTGTTTGTTAGAGAATTATGGTGTTTAGGGGAGAATGATGGTGTTTGTTGGAGACTGTGGGTCTTTGGTGAAGAATGATGGTGTTTGCGCCCTTTCTTTTTTTTAGAGAATGTGAGTGTTTGTTGATTAATGCTGATCTTGGTTGGAGAATGCAGGTGTTTATTGGAAAATGAGTGTGTGCTGGAGATTGATGGTGCTTGATGGAGAAAGGTGGTCTTTGTTGAAGAATGTTTAGTGGTGAAAGACGTTTGTTGGAGAATGTTTGTATTTCTTTGAAGGAGAAATTTTTTTTTTTGAAAATGTGGTTTTGTGGAGAATAATTGCGTTTGACCCAGAATGCTTACTTTTAGAGGAGAATGTGTTTATTGAACCCAAAATTTTTTGAGTTCAATTTTTTTTTTGTGGGTTGCATGACGTGATTGACCACATGGGAGTGTCATCCTATATAAAAGAGGCTGCCAGGCCACTGTCTGGAGACGTTCAGGGGTCTCTCCCCTCAGATGTGACCTGGACAAACACCTGTCCAGACCAGCATGGCATGCTTCACTTTGCTTGCCTTGTTAAATTGATGAAAGCTTTGTTTGATCTTGTGAAACTGTAATTTTTTGGGAAAAGTAGGAGACGAGCGCCATTTGTTACAATCACATTTTCTCCTCGTTTCAAACAGACAGAGTTGGGGGTGTTTTGTATTTCCTTTGGTTTTGTTTTACCGGTTTAGTTTGTAAAACCCTTTTTTTGTTGTTTTGTTTACTATTTACTATCGCTGAAGCTACACCTTCCCATCCAGCTCAACCTCTTGTCACTTAGCTCTTTTAAGAAAATGCATGATGTGGTTTCTTGTGAAAATGGTGTCCAGTGTTTGGTCTGTCAGCAGGTCTGGGCAGAGAGCCCACTCTCATTTGATGTTATGGCCTAGATATGGTCTTAACAGAATTGGTGGCTCTTTCGGGGAACATCAAAACGTTCTTTTATAGTGTGGACAATAACGGTGTTATATAATAAAGGCTTTATTGTGTATCTCTCAGCGGGCGCACGTCACTGGAGAAGAGAGAGTGATGTGAAGGTGTTGGACTCTCTGGAGGTGGAGATGACCTCGTATGTGCTGCTGGCTCTGCTGTCTGGACCGGTGCTACAGACCTTTGATATGAGCTACTCTGCTTCCATCGCCCGTTGGCTGGCCCAGCAGCAGAACGCCTTTGGAGGCTTTGCATCTACACAGGTATGTCCTGTCCACTCCTTGACCACAAAGCTCTGCGTATACTGTATAAGTTCTGTTGCAAATGGTCACCTCATATTCAACAACAATTTAAAATAAACTTCTTTTTCAGTCATTTAATTGTTTTTATAGTTTCTGTCACTATAGTTGTAGATTGTAGGTCACTTTAAGAAAGATCTTCTGTAATGACATTAAAAACACACTAACAATGTTTTGGTTCTCTTTCCACTCCATCCCTCTGACCAGGACACTGTGGTAGCTCTGCAGGCACTGGCAAAATACAGTGCTGCCACCTACAGTCCGACAGGCACCGTTGTGGTCACTGTGACCGGCCCTTCACCTCCAAAGGTATTTACAGTCAGTCAGAGCAACAGGCTGCTGCTGCAGGAGTCCAGCCTGCAGGTCGTGCCTGGAGACTACAAGGTCAAGGCTGAAGGCAACGGCTGCGTGTTTGCACAGGTCAGTCTGTCTCCATTTCTCTACTGGAAGATGATGACGATGCACCTTTTTTCTGTTCCACTTCTTTAACCTCTAATTAAACAGGCTCTTATGGGCCGTTTCTACTGGACAGTTTATCAGGGCTGTTTTGGAGCATTTGCAGGACTGAAGATGTAAAAGGATGTAAAAAGAATGCTATTATGTTATCATTACATAATTGTATATTATATATATATATATATATATATATATATATATATATATAAAGTGCAGGTACTGCTTACAGAAAGAAACAGCCTCACATTTCATAATGAAATACTTACAATGTAATTGTAAGTTACAGTATGGTGGGAATGTGATGATGGATGGAGCGTAACTTCAGTACTGATCCTTTTTTCTTTTTCCAGTTCTCTGTGCGCTACAACATCCCTCCCCCAGCCGACTTCTCTTCTTTCAGCCTCTCAGCTAACACTGCTGGAAACTGCAGCATCCCCATCCCATCTGTAAGCCTGTCTGTGACTGTCAGGTGAGCTTTACTTCATAATAATAATAATAATAATAATAATAAGAAGAAGAATACGTTATTGTGTGCAAAAGTTTTAACGTTTTTTTTGTTGATTTGTGTAAATAAATCAACATTGGCATTTTTCTGGTAATTTTCTTGCACAGTCTTGATTTATTTGCTAAGATATATATACAAACATCTAAGCACAATACTTTAAACCATTTATCTTGGCAGTAAGTGTGTTTTTGGCAGTAAAAACCCTGATTATCAATTTTATTAGAAAATATGCAAACATAAATACAGTAAATTATGATAATAATAATAATAAATGAATAAAATATAATGATAATGATAATAAAGATAATAAATAATCATGATGATAACCCCAAGTAATACTTGGCTGCCATGAAGTTTGGAAATGGTTAAATGACATAAATCACTACTTACTGTATTAATGCTATCTGTATTTATTCTAATATAATAATGTTTTTGTATTATTGCTGTTGCTCCATCATATCTCCAGTTTTGTTTTTAATTATTTTTTTATTCTTTTCCCCCTGAATTTAAAATGCTACCTGCCCTTCACATTGTGTTAAAATTTTATGGTAAATAGACATATATATATATATATATATATGTTTCAAAAATACTTGGGAAAATGTCGCTCCACTAACTTTCATTCAAAGTTACGAACTTATTTGCCTTCTCCTGTAAAGTTACCACTTTGGAGATGAGTGTGTGCGATGTTATTTGGGAAATGGAGATAAGAGTATTTGTTGCGACAAAACCTTCTACCTCCAGATGTGCTTTTAGTGCCACCTGCCATCAACAAAAGCATGTAAAGACTATAGATTGCAGCTGCAGCGGACCATGTTTGAGTGTTTGACTGTTTATCTGCTGCTCCTCAAGCTGTTTATACAATCGTGTCTCATTTTCATTATCATTCAGATGAAGCGTTAGAGTTTGACAGCTCATTCTAGACCTACAGTATTTATTTATATTTATTATTATTATTTTTTTAATTCTGTGCATCCCTGCAGTCTGTAGCTCATCTGTTGATGTATAGTTTGTGTTAGCCATCCTATAGCCTTTCATCAGTGGTCACTTTCTGACAACAAAGCAGCATCTTTGAATGAAATGTGCTGTAAAAGTAATGATTATTGTTATTATTGTTCCAGTTATAACGGTAAACGGTCAGAGACCAACATGGTGGTCATCGAGGTCAAACTGCTGTCTGGGTTCCAGCTGGACAAGGAGTCTCTGAAACCATCCAGTGAAAAAACAGAAGTAACTTTGCTCTTTGACCTCAGTTAAAGTAGCCAGTGTGATGTGTGTCCATTTGTTTGCTGATGTATGATCTGTTTCTGCAGCCAAATGAAGGAGCAGTGAAGCGCCTGGATCAGAAGGAGGGCAGCGTCACCATCTACCTGGATGGAGTGAGTGCACATTCGATCATTACATCTCAGCATTAGCACTCAGTGTATTATCAACACGTTTTACATCAAGCTAAAACTAATTTTATGTCCAAAAAAAACTCTGATTGGCTCTTCTTTATGCTCTAAGGCAAATAGTTGCATGTTGTATATGAAGCCTTCGAAAATGACTGTGTAAGTAGCCGTTATGGTTGTTTGTGACGTCTTGTTCGGTCTAGAAATACATGTTCATTGGGTTGGGCATCTCTGTGTCCTCTCCTGTAATCATTTTCACCTTTTGGATCACAAATCAGTGGTGGACAGTAACTAAGTAAATGTAATTCATTACTGTACTTAAGTAGTTTTTTTGTGTGTCTGTACTTTACTGAAGTTTTTCCATTTCAAAGTCTAATATCTTACTTTTTACTCCACTACATTATGAGAAATCTGTCGTTCTTTTTGGTTTATGTGTGTATAAAAACGTAACATGTCAAAACAAAAGAAGCACAAAGCGAGAACACCAATCAGGGCACAGCGGTCACTTTGTTTTGAGCTTGTTTTGACCTGTTGGTCATACCGACCCAGTGCAGCACACGGTTCAACATCAGTGCAGCAGCGTAAAATTTTGGGAGAGTCTATTCAACATAAAAGATGAACTAACCTAACTTTGTGTAAATAGACCACAATATAGAAATATGTACACATATGTGACTGTCGTGTCTTTTTTCTGAATTTATACAAACACTATTTCATTTTATAGTAAATTAGTTTTGTCTAGTTTATGTTTATGAACAGAGACCTACAGATGCAGTTTAGTAAAGGAAACTCATTTGTGAACCTGTGTTTAGAGAAAGTTTTTCTCTAAAAAAGATTGGTTTACCAAGAGTGACACTGGAGTATTTTCACCTAAAATGAGTTAATGAAGCGAGTCTTGTTATAAAAATGATAATAAGACATCAGAGTCACAATTAATCTTTTAGTACTTTTACTTTCGATACTTAAGTACACTTTAAGGCAAATACTTTTGTACTTTTACTCAAGTGGAGGTCTAAAGGAGGAACTTCTACTTTTACTGGAGTAATATTTTACCTTGGGAATCTCTACTTTAACTCAAGTACATGATTTGTGTACTTCGTCCACCACTGTCACGAATGAATCTGAACTTTGTGTAAAATTCGGCATCAGAAGAGAAAAAAAACAATCAAAGTCATTACTTGTCATTCAGATGTGTTTAGAGAGGAAAAAAATGTGGTCTCTCCAAGACACAGTACTACATATTTAACACACAGCAGCAGCAGACAAACTACATAAACGCTGTACAATAACTATACAACTATACAACAAGTACTAGCCACTGAATGAAGGGGTGGTGGAAAATAGTTCAGCTGTTGGTCCACAGCAGAAATAATAGCTGTGTGTGAATTATTAACAGCACACTGATAATAATAATTCACTGATAATCAGTGATAATTATTAATAGAATTAATCTAGGTACAGAAATGACTATTACAGCAGGTTAAGCAGCCATTTAAACAGTGATTAACACAGTTAACACAGCTAATGTTAAAACATAGAGACTTTAGTTTTGAGAAGCTCAGGCTGGTTTGTTGTCGTGTCTCAGGAAACTAATAAAATAAAAAACTACCAACCTTCATTCTGTCGAGGAGGTCAACTACGCAAATAATCCGGTGAAATCAATCGTTTGAAGGTCTCGATCGTTTGGCTGGGTGTGATCATGTGATGCGTCATCTGCATTTTTATTCTTTACTTCATGAAGCTTGTTTCGCAAATGTTGCAGCGGAGTTTCAAGTGAGTTGCATGGTGCTTTGAATTGTGCAACTCCGATGCAATTTAGTTTGATGTAGGTTTCACCACGTAAAGCCAGCCTTTGACAGTTTTTCTTGATCCTGTTGCAGTAACACTCATTAGGGTCTGGACACATTTCTGGATGTGGCTGCTAGAAAAATTGCTATACAAATACAGTTGAGCAGAAATGAGCATTCTGGGACATTTGGCTAAAGGATATGAAGGATTACACTTTAAACTTATAGATTTAGATGTTTTTGATGTCAGTAAAAGTGGATTTTCTTTTCAATTAATCTGTCCAGTATATAGAAAATGATTAAATGTTCCATTGGGACAGATAATGTGATATCATTAAAACACTATTAAACTGACCAAATGAAAAAATATTTCATAAACAATTAAGATTATTAATAATAATATTAGGCTACAGTAACCAAGCCACTATAGAATATGTGTATTATTTTACATGGACCCCAGAACATTTAGCAGCCCAGCTCAGCTCAGTTTTTACAACCAGAACCATTTATCATATGTACCATTATAAACCGGGTAATCATAAAACAGATCGTTCTGTAACTTTGTGTTGCCTCTCATGGATAATTGTATGATTTAACAGTATAGTACATTTGTACGCACAGGTTTGAACAATCCTGGTTGAATCCTGTTTTTTTTTCATTTATTAAGGTAATAACACATCCTCAGCACTTGGATCTGACATTTTTCTGCAACTTTTAACACACTGAATTAACAAATTGGAAAAAAAATAAAACGCAAAAAAATCTAAAATGTGCCGTAACTTTTACACAGGCCATTTTATTCTTCCCCAGTATTTTAAATTACAAATAAAGAGTAATTATGTATTAAAATGTGCACAAGTGTGTTCTCTGTAGAGGATGTATTAACATATTTTCACCTTTCACCATCAACAAAAACCAAGAGTATCCCAAACCTTTGCACACTGTATGTGTAAGTTTGTGCATTGATCTATGACTCTTTCTTTCAGCTGAAAAAAGGAGACTCTAAGACGTACAGTCTGGTCATCCTGCGCGAAACAGCTGTGCAGAACCAGAAACCGGCCGTGGTGAAGGTGTACGACTACTACGAGACCAGTAAGAACCACTTCATTACTCTTTATTACCCATCACAGAGTTTACAGAGGAGACAGGATCAGCTACGTTTAACACACTCATGAGCTACTCTTCACATCTACCAGAACAAATACACAACAAGGCCCATCCTATGTTAATGTACTGTTAACAGACACAATGCTTTAGGCCACTGAATAACATCATGTGCAAAACCGTAGACGGACGTACTGAAAACTTCAGAAATGTTACAGTAAACCTTAATGACAAAACACCAACATTTAAATAAATACAAATAAAACATTTAAATAAAGGTTTTAATAAACGTTTTAAATAAACCAACAACTGTGATTGTTCTGTGAGTGAATTCCAAAGCTCTCCTTGAGAAAGTCCAGTATTTACAGTCACCATCCAACACCTACAGTTTTGCATGCAAAAGTTAGAACACCCCCGATCACATGACGTTTTTGTTGAAAATGTGTTAACACATCCACTACAGACAACACACTTCTGCACGTTTTAATGCACACTTTGTGTCTGTTTGCTGAATTCAAGATTATTTGTAAAATACAAAACATAAAATGTGGCCTGTGCAAAAGTTATGGCACATTCTGTACTGCATGTTTTAGTTTTTTTGTCCAACTCAGCAAATAAATTGAAACTGTGGGCGAAAGAAAGTGCATAGAAATGTTATATTCCCCGTAGAGGGTGTGTTAACTTATTATCACTTAAAAGATTTCATCATTTGACCAGGGGTGTTCTGACTTTTGCATATGACTGTGTGCCTTTTCATATTTACTCTAATGTTTAACTGGTAAAAACACACTCACTGTGCAGATAAGCGAACTATGCTGTATAAGACCAGAGTATATATTCAGATTATCTATAAGAAAAAATTCTGAAACATGATGTTAAATATGTTTATGATGCAGGTTTTGGGTATCCTGACGTGAAAGGGAGGGAAGTGTCCAATTAGGATTACAATACTATGCTAATGTTTACTGTAACAGCAGTAATGGGGGGTGTCCTGATAAGGACCTCAGAGAAGACCCCCTGGGGAATACTATCACTAGGCCGTGGACCACTTGTGGTCTGTGGTGGTCATCAGGCCAATCCTGAGGGGGGAGCCAGTGGTCTGTAGTTGGCCAGTGATGGCGCTTTAGAAATATCTGTGATCGGACAATCTGATGTTTAAGCTATTGCCCAAAGTGTCAGCACTGAAGAAATAAAAAATAATAAAAATAATCAAAAGTTTTGCTTTCCTGTGGGCCTTGAGGAGGTGAGGTTTGAGAGCCTGTCACTAAGGATTTGGGATTGGTGAAGGAAAATAATTAGAAACAGGATATTCTGGAGATACGCTATCCATATGGTCGCCGGGAGTTGGAAATAATAATAATAATAATAATAATAATAATAATAGTGTATTAACCTGGGGTTCAAAACTCATGCAAAAACTTAATGTAACTACAGGCAGTTTTGGCTGTGCAGATTTTAAGAGAGACAGTGAAAAGGTCTTTACGCTGACAGTGTTGCGGTGAGGACGAGTGGCGGTAAAGACTTTCTTATTGTTTTGGAGTATAAATGGTAAACAATGTGGCTCTTACATTCGCTTGAGATCACAACTTCTAATATATTTGATTTTAATTGAGTACATTTTTGGAATTTTTCTGTAAATCATTTCTGTAAAGACTCCTTGATTACGTTTCCTACACTTTTTGTCTGTGAGCTTTTTGTGTAAATTAATTTTTCCACTGAAAGTGGTTTTGTATGGATTGAGAATCATGTTATTTTAGACCTTTTGGTCAGCACTGTGGTAAAGACACATCAATGTTGGATAGATTTAAAGAAAATCAACTTGCATGCCAACACTATATATATATATATATATATATATATATATATATATATATACACATAATGTCATGATTGAGCTTTTGTATAGTGCAATCACAAGCAGTAAAGATGCAATCGTGTAATTCATTAATTGCATTAGCTGATATATTAAGCAGCTACTCTGCATGTGAAAATGCGTTATAAACACTAATTAAATACTTTTTGTGTGTTCGGCTAAAATATAACAGCATGTGTGTGTGATTTCTTTCACATGACTGAAAGTATGTTTTTCTTCTCTTTCTCTCCTGCAGGTGACGTGGCTGTTGCTGATTACACCTCCCCCTGCAAATGACCCCACAGCTCAAACAGCTCCGTCTGGAGAGACGAGGTTAAGCAAGTTTATGATCACAGTGTTTCTGTCTCACCAAAGTCTGTTCTGTGAGCTGAAATCTGAAATAAATCTGACTGCATTAAAGATCTAAGTGTGACATGTGGTTTAGGTTTAATCAGGTCTCCCATTTGTGTTTATCTGTCCACAGCTCAAACTCCACCTTCCCATCATGCAGTAACTTTCATCCTAATTTTAAAGGTGACATTAACGAAGGAAAGTTATTCATGTTACAAGAAGAGAAAAAAACAACATAATTCTTTCATTCTTACTCCAGTCATAGTCAGACAGTCAAGATGTATTTGGTGTCTGAAGTTTGTCTTTAGTTTTAGCACTTAAGCTAGGAGGCCAGTCTATCAGACGTTACTGAACAACACCAGAGCCGGTTTATGAGGAGCCTGGCCACTTCCTATTTCCCCCATTATATCAAAAACAGGACTACTAATCAGCAGAGGGCGCCCGAGAGCGAGTCCTCAATGAATGAGAGTGAATGGAGCTCAACGGCTAAAAACGCAAAGTTAAAATAGTTTCTAATCTCTCGCCCAGAACGTTTCTTTAATTTTAGAAAGTAGAAGGATGGATTTCACTAAAAAAGCAAAGAAATCTCACCTGTATGTTTCCTTTTTTCTACAGCAAAAGGGTTTTGGGCAGAAGGAGGCGGGGATTACTGCTAGAGTGTGATGATTGATTGGCGAGCAGAGCAGCTCATTGGCTGTTCGCTCACTGATGTCATGAACGTACATGAGGCACCGTTTTAAACTCCTATAACTAGAATTTAAAAGCTTTTAAAAATATAACAGCAGTGTTAAAATGTTTTATGCTGTTCTGTGTTCAGGTAATGATTTTGCTCCATAGCAACTCATTCATTTTCACTCAGGAGCGCCCTCTAGCGTCTGACAAACCCGGAAGACTTTGCAGAGTGGGAATTCTCCTCTCTACAAGTTCTCTGACAACACACAGTTTGAAGTTTGTGTGTGCGATGATTTAGACATGCAGTTGGCACCATGCTAATCACTGGAACATACCACAGATATACATTCCTGGATGCCGCGTTGTCTGTTGTTCTCTATGTGAGGCGATGCGTGTGAATCACTTCACATATTGATGGATCTGATGGATGAAGCTGAAGTTGGCTTTCTATTCGCCAGCTTCTTGTTGGAGTTTTCTCATTCCACCTTAAATGGCGCATCAGTCACTTTCTGGTGCCTGAAGCTGCACCATTTAAGGTGGAATGGATTAAGGAATGCTGTAAGCATTAACCATCATTGTAAATAATTAACTACATACAGTTAAAATCCCCTGAATAGACTATTAAATGAAATTAGCTTAATATAAAACCAGAGGAAAAACAATCACATCAACAGGTTCTCTGTGCTTCACCAACCACACAACATCTACACATAAACATCACACAAACAATAAACATCACACAAACATGAGTGTGGATCGCTGCGTTCCCTCCGTTATATAATCCTGTCTCACTTTCTGAGTGTAATATTCTTGAAATAGTGTAATTTTGGACAGTATCTTTCTTAAACAGCCGCTCTGTAATGGTACTGAATGCAGTCCAGCAGCGATGCTGACCGCCTTAAAATGACGGTGACGTTGACGTGCCTGGCTGGACCCAACGCGGCATCTGGGTCTGTATATCTATGGGAACATATGCTTCCATTACCTTATATCTCCAGCACAAAAACTAAACAAGCAACAGACATTTCAGATTTTTCAAAGAACTCTTTTTTTTTTAGATAATCTAATAAAGACCGACTCTGCAGGAAAGACCACAGAGTTTAATGGACTGCACTGCGTCCAGCTTCCTGCCAACAGGGCTGATTCCCAGATCAGATCTCTGCAGGAAATGCAGGTTCAGCATGATTAGACTGGTCCTTTAAACCTGTGTCAGATTTCAAACAGTTGACAGACACGCCGGCAGTTGTATGCCTTGTTAACATATGGTGCTGATCTTATAAGAAGAAACCAGCACTTACTTTTTAAGATTTTAAACATTTCAATAAAAAGCAATTATTTCTATATAATGTAGAATTGTACATAAAAACATTACAAGTCACTGTAGACCATCATGAAATGTTGTCACAATATAAAGGGCAGTTAGGCGTTTTCAAATCATGTCAAAAAAACAAAAACAATGAACATACATATCGCTGATGATGGAACAAACCTTGTATCTCCATTTTTATTGTTTTTCTTTCTTTTTTTTATATATAATTTGAAAATGACAGCTGCCCTTTTACGTTGTTTTCAAATGGAACACAAACTGACCAAAATGCCCTACAAAAAATATTGTAACGTGAAGTTACATTGAAAGTTAAGAAGTTTCTCCTGTAAAGTTAAGATTTTGTATATATGTTTTGTATATATAAACCATTAAAAGTTTCTGTTGGTATCAGATAGTCTCTACTGGTTTGGGCTAATGGGCTCTAAAGGTGTTCATCTCGACAGTCCTGGAACCTACACTAGAGTTCTGTTCGTAGACTTCAGCTCGGCTTTCAACCCCACAGTGCCAGAGCCGCTGTAGGTCAGACTGTCTCAGCTCTCTGTGTCAGATCCCATCTGCAGGTGGATCCTGGACTTCTTGATAAACAGGAAACAGCAGATGTGGCTCGTAAAACACACATCAGACCCCCAGACCCTCAGTACCAGAGTACCACAAGGTTGTGGGTTCTAACCCCTTTGGTCTCAACACCAATGACTGTGTCTCTAAGGAACCAGATGACAGATGCAGATGACATCACAGTGATGGGCCTCATAGCCTACGGTGAGGCTGCCTACAGAAAGGAAATGGAGCTTCTGGTCTCCTGGTGCAGCAGCAACCACCTGCTGCTCCAAACACAAGAGACTGCAGAGATGGTGGACTTCAGGCACGACCCCCCTCACTGCCCCCCCTCACCATCAACGGCTCTGTGGTTTCCACTGTGGAGTCACTCAAGTTCCTGGGCAGCACCATATTAAAGTGGGAGAGGAAAATGGTCTCCATCGCCAAGAGAGAACAGCAGAGAAGGTTCTTCCTGAGGCAGCTGAAGAAATTTCACCTGCCGCAGAGCCTGATGATCCAGTTCTACACAGCAATCACAGAGTCCATCCTCACATCCTCCATAGGCATCCATCTGGTTTCGTTGCTCCTCCTCACAAGAACGAGCTACTGCTGACCCTGACATACATTTCCAGACACTCCCCTCTGGTAGAAGATTCAGAGTCATCAAAACCAGCACAGCCAGACATGATAACAGCTTCTTCCCCAGAGCTGTAGCAATCGGGCATAACATTATGACCACCTCCTTGTTTCTACGCTCATCGTCCTTTTTATCAGCTCCACTTACTATATAGGTGCACTGTAGTTCTACAATTACAGACTGTAGTCCATCTGTTTCTCTGCATACTTTTACCCTGTTCCTCAGTTGTCAGGACCACCATGGACCCTCACAGAGTAGGTTCTATTTGGGTGGTGGATCATTCTCAGCACTGCAGTAACACTGATGTGGAGGTGGTGTGTTAGTGTGTGTTGTGCTGGTCTGAGTGGATCAGACACAGCGGTGCTGCTGGAGTTTTTAAACACCTCAGTGTCACTGCTGGACTGAGAATCGTCCACCAACCAAAAATATCCAGTCAACAGCATCCTGTGGGCAGCGTCCTGTGACCACTGATGAAGGACTAGAGGATGACCAACACAAACTGTGCAGCAGCAGATGAGCTATCGTCTCTGACTTTACATCTACAAGGTGGACTGACAAGGTAGGAGTGTCTAATAGAGTGGACAGTGAGTGGACACAGTGTTTAAAAACTCCAGCAGCACTGCTGTGTCTGATCCACTCAGACCAGCACAACACACTAACACACCACCACCACGTCAGTGTTACTGCAGTGCTGAGAATGATCCACCACCCAAATAGTACCTGCTCTGTGAGGGTCCATGGGGGTCCTGACCACTGAAGAACAGAGTAAAAGGGGGCTAAGAAAGTATCAGAGAAACAGATGGACTACAGTCTGTAACTGTAGAACTACAAAGTGCACCTATACAGTAAGTGGAGCTGATAAAATGGACAATGAGCGTAGAAACAAGGAGTGGTCATAATGTTATGCCTGATCGGTGTAAATGTCATCAGAATTTCGTATGTATAGATATCCTTATCTGCACTATATGTACAGATCTTCACGTTTCTCTGTAGCTCTTCTTCAAGGTTCTTTATAATGTATTATTCTTTATTGAATTAATTGTGTTTTTATTTTATTCGTCCCAGTTAAATACATGTTAACAAGTTAACAGGCTGTTTGTTTGTCTGGTTCAGTGTGTTATATGTCATACATGTACTTACCAAACTCCTTGTATGTGTAACATACTTGGCAAAATGAAGTGATTCTGATTCTGATTCTACAGGAAACCATTGATCTGTAATGGTAATCGTTAAGCCAATTCACATTAGACAGCAAAATCATCAGGGTTTAATGGCTTTTTCAACAGGGCTCATTACCCCCCTCCCCTTACAGACTACGCTGGCATGTTACTATGGTAACCGTCTGGGCGGCTGTGTCCCAGCTGAGCTCTCCATCACACCCACACACTCCTACGTGTCCAAACACCGAGGCAGCGGAGTGACTCTGACCTTTCTCTCCCGCAGCACAGAGACTGACCGCTGTGGTGTGAAAGCCTGAAGTGAAGAGCTGCTTCTCTGACACTTCAACCCTGATATATCACATTCATCACATTCTGTTATGTCTGTGTGTCTTAAAAACACATTTCATTCATGAAAACACAAACATTTAAGAGTAAATATATGCTTTTGGAATAAAACCTTGTATCTCCAACATGGTAAGTTTACAGGAGAAGAAAAAGCATTTTACTGTAGTAGAATTTAATGTGAAAAGATATTTTTCCAAGTAATCCTGGATCATTTCTGTTGGTCTGTTCATCACGAAATTTTAACATAATACAAAGGGTAACGTGAGCTTCCTGATCACGCAAAAAAAATAGAAGAAGAATTCAGAACCTTTAGCCAACTGTGTTTTGCACACAGAGGAATTAGACCTCAAC